CGTGTTCTTCCTTTTTGGTTTTCTGATTCCAAATCTTTGCATATTTTATTATAATATTTGGCTTTATCTTCTCTAGCTGATCTTTGAAATTTTCTGTTCATGGAATGTATGAAGTATGAACATAGGGATATTGGAAGTCATCAAGAACTAAATGGAACGTATTAAGATCAATATCCTAACTATTAATGAGCTGAAATGGATTGGTATTGGTGATTTTGAATCTAACAATCATATGGTTGTTGATCAAACATGCCGTCGAAATGCACTGATAATTACTGGTGATTGGAATGCAAAAGTTGGAAACAAAGGGACAGGATCAGTTGTTGGAAAATATGGCCTTGGTGACAGAAACAATGCTGGAGATCACATGATAGAATTTTTCAAGACCAGTGACTCATTCATTGCAAATACCCTTTTTCAATGACATAAGCAGTAATCATACATGGGCCTCAGCAGATTGAATACACAAGAAGCAAAACGACAACATTTGTGGGAAGAGACCATAGAGAAGCTCAATATCATCAGTCAAAACAAGGCCATGTACTGACTGTACAACAGATCATCAATTGCTCATATACAAGTTCAGGCTTATGCTAAAGAAAATTAAAACAAGGCCATGAGAGTAAATTCTACCTGAATTTGGAGACCATCTCAAGAATAGATTTGGTGCATTAGAGACTAATGTCCTAAGACCAAAAGAATTATAAGATGGCATCAGGAATATCATACAGGAAAAAAGGAAAAGGACATTAAAAAGACAGGGAAGAAAGAAAAGCCTAAACTGAATGTCAGAAGAAACTCTGAAACTTGTTCATGAAAGTAGAAAAACTAAAGCAATTGAAAGAAATGATGAAGCATAACAACTGAATAGAAAATTTCAAAGGTCAGCTCAAGAAAACAAAGATCTGGAGTTAGAAAACAAAAGGCAAGAACATACTTAGCATTTGTCAAACTGAATGGACTGAAGAAAAAAAATGCAAGCCTCACGATACAATATTGAAGGATTCCATGAGCAAAATAGCGAATGACACAGGAAGCATCCAAAAGAAGATGGAAGGAATATGCAAAGTCACTGTACCAAAAATAATTGGCTGATCTTCAACCATTTCAAGCAGTAGCATATGATCAGGAACCGATGATGTTGAAAGAAGTCCAAGATTCACTGAAGGCATTCAGGAAAAAGAAATCTTAGGAAGTGACAGAATACAAATAGAAATGTTTCAACAAACTGATGCAGCAATGAAAGCACTCACTAGTTTATGGCAAAACATTTGGTACATCCATATTTGTATCCATTCCAAAGAAAGGTGAAGTAACAGAATGCAGAAATCATAGAACAATATCATCAATATCACATATAAGTAAAATTTTTCTGACAATAATTAAGAAGTGATTGCAGGAGTACATTAACACTAAGCTGCCAGAAATTCAAGCCAGATTCAGAAGAGGATGTGTAAAGAGGGATATCATTGCTGATGTATGATGGATCTTGATTGAAAGCAGAGAATACTAGAAAGATGTTTACTTGTGCTTTATTGACTAAGCAAATGCATTTCTTTATGTGAATCATAATACATTACAGATAACATTGAGAAGAACACTTAATTGAACATGTGCATAAACTAAGAGGTAGTTGTTAGAAAGAAAAAAAAAAAAAAAAAAAGGGCTACTGAATGGTTTAAAACCAGAAAAGTTATGCAATAGGATTATATCCATTCACCATATTTATTCAATCTGTATGCTGAGCAAATAATCCAGAAGCTGTACTATATAAAGAACATGGAATTAGGATTCAAGGAAGACTCATTAAAAACCTAGATGACACAACTTTGTTTGCTGAAAGCAGTGAAGATTTGAAATACTGATAAAGATCAAAGACCACAACCTTCAGTATGGATTGCACCTCAATGCAAAGAAAATAAAAATACAACTGGACCAGTGAATAGCATCATGCTAAACTGAGAAAAGATTGACTTTGTCAAAGACTTCATTTTACTTGGATCTACAATCAACATTTATGAAAGCTTGTTGTTGCTAGGTGCCATTAAATTTGTTCCGCCTCATAGCACTACAGAACAAAACACTGCCCAGTCCTGTACCATCCTCACAATTGTTGTAACACTTGAACCCATTGCTGCTGCCACTATGCCAATCCATCTCATTGGGGTCTTCCTCTTTTTCAATGACTCTTCACTTTACCAAACATGATGTCCTTCTCCAGGAATTGGTCTTTTCTGTTAATATGTCTGAAGTATGAGAGATGTAATTTCGCCATTCTTACTTCTAAGGAGTATTCTAGCTGTACTTCTTCCAATGCAGATGTGCTTGGTCTTCTGCCAGTCCATGATACTTTCAATATTCTCCAACACCACTACTCAAATGCATCAATTCTTCTATGATCTTCCTTATTCATTGTCCAACTTTCACATGCATATGAGACAATTGAAAACACCATGGCTTGGGTCAGGCCCACCTTAATCCTCAAACTAATATCTTTGCTCTTAAACACTGTGACAATTAAAGTTTTGTATCAATTTAATTGGGCCAGGATTCCCAGTGGTTTGGCAGTTGAGATGTGATTATCCCCATGGTGAGATCTAATACAGTGTAGTTAACTCAATAATGAT